CTTTCCTTAAAGTTGTAATAGCTAGGCGTTGGTTTAATTTATTTGAATTTTGAATGTAATACTCTTTATCTTTGTTTGAAGTTATTCAACTACAATAATTTTTTTTATAATTATTATTTTATGCATTCACAGTAGAAGGTATCACAAACCAACTCACCACGGATCAACCCACAAGGAGTTGGGTTGTCCACAAGTTGGCCTACCTATTTTACTTTTAATTTTTTTCATTCTAAATGTTAGTTTATGATAATTAGTGTCAATTTTATATATTTTTTTTAATCTTTTATGCAACTACTTTGATATTATAAGTTGGTTGAAGTTAATGCTTATTTTTTGACATTCTTTTGTCATTTTGTTAACATAGTTGTAATTGTAAGATATAAGATTATAATAACTCTTTTTTTATTATAAAGTTTAATATTTTTTTTGTTATTTTCTTTTTAATTCAAGTGAGTCAACTTATTTAACCCGTTAATCTATGATGGGCTAAGCCAACTTGATTTTCTCTAGGCTCACCAGAAGGTGAGTCGAGTTAGGTTGACCCCCCTATTACCCAACCCATTTTGGGCTAGGTCAGGTGCTCGACTTTGACAGCTCTATCGACAGGTTGTTACACTTGGCACAACACAACAACTAAACATTGTAGTAGAAAACATAATCATCAACTAGCCTAAGATTCATATGCAAACAATCCATATATATTCATTCAACATCAATCATATAAAAAGGTACTGAAAACCTTAAAACAGTTCCTACCCATAATGCGGAAAATATCTAGTCCCTATGAAGTTACAATCATCCCTATATATATACAAACATAAACAAATATAACCGCTACAAGAACTAAAAACATAAATCCTAGGTGTCAATCAAACAACTCTAAGAACAAAATGTATCAAAATAGCTCCCGCCAAAATGGCCACCACCAATTCAACCATCCAACACATCCAATCTTGCCCTCGTGCTAATCATAATGAACTCTCATACAAAGTTTGATTATCATAGTCAAACACAAGAAAAATAAAGCTAAACTTGTATAAAAGAAACATCATAACATAAAAGCTAAAATCTAACTTTATCAACATGAACAATTTCACAACATATATCAATATCAACTAAAACATCATAATATCAACACCAAACAACACCGCAACTCAAGTTTAACCCAGTAAATATACCAACTTTCTACTCAAAAATATATCATATTTAACTCAACAAATTTGAAAAACACATACACAACTCAACAACTTGAATAACACGTATATAAAACTTAGTATCTTAATATACAACTCAACAACAATACAATGTGTTGTCACACATTTTCAACATTAGAGATTTCCTACAACATAGTGAGCAATTTAAGTCACTTAACCCTACGAAACCTACAACACAATGACCTATCTTCTTTCGATCATAATATCAACTTAGTAGGCATGTTAGACATGAACAACTCGGAATGATTTATTAGATTTCTCCGCTTAAACTAAGAAAGCCCACTACAACTGTCAAGTATAGTACAACTAGGGTGTGAGCATACCGCGATATTGATATGCATCAATTGTGACACCCTTACTACCCCAACACATATATTGTAATAATGTAAATGAACTAAGGAAATAAATTTTTTAACATTTGTAAAAAGGGTTCACATAAAATCTTGCTAACTGTTGTTAATATCCAAAATAATTGAAAAATAAAAATTGGAAAATAAAATATAAGAGTTTACAAATTGTTTTTAAAATAATAAGTACAACTCCAACTACACATAAAAATCCATATCCTAGAAATCCTCTACCCCGATGTCACAATATCAGAGCATCCCCACAATACAACTGTTGGCATTCTAGATGCTACTCATAGCCGGATCTTCCTCACCTAAGACATCCACAAATTATAAAGTGAGAAAAGAAAACGTCTATATGTAAAGCACACAAGGAAAAGCCACAACCTAACCTCATCATAACTCATTACATAATGAAATATTTACAAGCATTTCTATATATCCTAATTCTATCAATCATGCATCATCTTCACATCGCAATTCACAATCACACCAATCCATCACAAATCTTGCAATTAACACTATGTCAAGGTCACGCACCCCTGTAGCATCTCTTGCCCAAGGTCGTGCCACCCTTGACATAAGTGTGAGGAATCACACATTCCACACTATGCCAAGGTCACGCCACCCCTGTAGCATCTCTTGCCCAAGGTTTTTCCACCTCCGACATAAGTGTAAGGAACCACAATCACATTTCATTCATAATCATCACAAATCTTGCAATTAACATTATGCCAAGGTCACGCCACCCTTGTAGCATCCCTTGCCCAAGGTCGTGCCACCCCTGACATAAGTGTGAGGAATCACACATCTCACACTATGCCAAGGTCACGTCACCCTTGTAGCATCTCTTGCCAAGGTCGTGCCACCCCTGATATAAGTGTTAATTACCTCACATCCTACACTATGCCAATGTCACGCCATCCCTATAGCATCTCTTGCCCAAGGTCGTGCCACCCCCGACATAAGTGTGAGGAATCACAATCACATCACATTCAAATTAACAACAACATCTAATTTAATGTCAACATACTCACATCATAATTAATTGAACAATCAAGTCATAACATACCATTCGCCACATCATGTTATTAATTCAATACTAAAACGGTAGATATAATGTATACATTTATGCCAAGACATCACTCCACATTCCATAACTCAATTCCACATCATACACAAAATAGATAAGTCCACACAAAATAGTGGTTCAAATACCCCTCAAGCAATTCATCATGAATCCACATGTAGATCATCAATTTTTACCAAATAATATAATAATAACATTTATAAATTAATATAAAACCTGATTGAATCACCAATTTAATAGGATCATAACTCAAATAGTAAAACCCCCAATTTTTCCAAAACCTAACTCACAGGAACTTTTCTACAATTTCGTTTTCTCTCCCAAATCATCATTTAATTTACAAGTTATTTACATATTCCTAATCCTCAATACATGCAAAATCTAATGTAATCATCGATTCCTCAAACAAAAATAATTATAAAATTACCCATAATCCTACGGAATTCCTCATCTACCCAATTCTCTCATATAACTTTGCATACAAATAATTCCCTTTCTCCCGTACCTTGATAAGCAGTAGCTAAAACTAAAGCAGGATCTGGTTGGTCTCCTCCTCTAGGTTCCTCTCAGTCTTCAGAGAGTGTAGAAGGAAAAGAAGTTAGAAGTGAAAAATGTGCTTTTGGGAGTGCTAGAGTGTGCTATTTATAAACACCAAGAGTGGTCGGAACGACCCGTTCTGGTCTCATTTGTCATGTGTAAAATTCACATCCAGTACGACCCGTTCTTAAACTAGAATGGTCCGTTATGGGGTTACATTTTAACCCATAACGACCATGTTTGGAACGACCCATTCTTAAACCAAAACGGCTCGTTCCCAACTAGGGTTACAAGCCTTTTTGGTGATTTGGAACGCCCCGTTCTAATTAGGAACGGCCCGTTCCCAACTAGGATTTATAAGCCTTTTTAGTAGTTTGGAATGGTCCGTTCCAGTTTGGGAATGACTCGTTCTGGGCTACTAAATCACCCTTATTAGGCTTTAGGCTTTCATATAAGCTGTGAAAATGAGGGTGTTACATCAATCTAGCTCTAAATGGAATTAGCTGGTTGTCTATCCTCTTGATATCGAGCACCCCTCCAACACTCGATTAGGGATTTTGGCCCCTAATTTCATGTCTTACTTGTTGGCCACTTCTAACAAGTATGACTTGACCTGTCCACCATATTGTATACAACTCATTGGCCACTTTTAATAAGTATGACTCGATCTTGCCCTATACCGTCTTTAACCTAAAAGCCTAGAGGAAACAATTTTTTTTTAAAAAAAGACTCTCATTTCATGAGCCAACTCTATCATTGAAAGGTTTTCAACATCGGATTTTTAGAGCACTACAACTTAGATCCACATAATGTGATCTTTCAACTTAGAACAACTCACTCTCCTTTTAGTTTTTATGTTCAACTTTCAACTAAGGAAAAGAAATGCATACAACATAATCACCTCGACTTATCAACTTGACATGCTTTAACAACTCAGAGAACATACAATATTCACAATCAACTCAAGTTAACAACTCAATCAACACATCACATCTCAACAACTTAGACCAATTTAATCACATGCTCTTTTTTTATCAACTTTGACAACTTATAAACATGCCATCAATATCAACTAACAACTTTTCAACACATTATCATAAACAACACATAATAGTTTAACACCATTCATCTTATATATTGCATCATACAATATCATCATTTATCAATATAAACTTATTCAAACAACATGAGTCAATAGAATTATCCCAACACTTCAAACATAGTTCATATTAAAAAAACCTTTATAAAAAATAGGATTCTCATGAGATGAACCCTAACTCGCTAGGCAATTAGGGAAAAGAGAGTATTCTCATTGGGGAAGCAAAATTTTATAAGGTAACCATATTTTTGAGTGAGCTACAACTCAATGAGTAAGTAGAAGTTTATGATCTAACCCTTTCCAAAAGAAACTTCTCTAGTTGAGTGCTTAAGAAAGTTGGGCCTAGGTAAAAAATTAACCTCAACTCACTTAATCAAAATCCCTAACTCAGTGAGCTCGTAGTATAAACCAACCATCAAGTCAAGCTCATTCGATGATGGTTGTGTTGCCCAATGCAACTTCAAGAGTTCTTTGGGGTCCCATATTCTCGTTTAGCAACAAACACATTAATTGTTGAGCAAGAATAAGTTTTTTTTGAGTTTTTGGCCTTCAAAATTGAAAGCTTGCCCAATATATTTCAATTGTTGAAGATTACAATATATTGAATATATGGATACACATATACTTTTACATAAGTTTCATATATGTTATACAACTTGATATAAATTATAAGTGTTATGAAATAACAATTAAAATAATTTTCAAATTACTTACTACTTTGCTTTATCACCGGGCTAAACTTGATTAATGGACATAATCCTTATTTTGACACTGCTTAGAAAACAAAGAAAGATTTATGAGTACAAATTGAAATATAATATTATAAAGAGTTTAATTAAATTTCCATATTGTAGAAGCTAAATCAGTAAAGCTTTTACCTTAATTAGATTTCAGTAGCTCCACCTAAGAGTTCTATATCTTTTTCCACCATGATGTTCATACGCAAAATCAAGTTGTGGGATGATCTTGTGAAGCATCTCTTCAATGTGTTTAGAATACCACAACCTCCAACTACTCCAGAAAATAAGAGGCAGGATGAAAATTCCAAAACCAAAAATAAATCCCAACTCAGCACTTAAAAAATTGCAATCAATTGAACTCTTAATATGAGAATGGGGTGTTTCAGGTGATAGCACTCCATTGCTACAATTATGGGTCAATGGAGGTCCACATAACTCCTTATTCCCTTCAAAGGAATCAGCTTCAAATGATTGAATTTGAGTACCTATGGGAATTTGTCCCACCAAGTGATTATATGATAGATTCAAATATGCAAGGAAAGATAGACTTGCAAGATTTGTAGGAATTTCTCCATTGAAAGAATTGTTTGAAAAATCTAAAGACTCGAGATTCTTCAAATTTTCAATCGATGATGGGATGTGACCTGAGAGGGCATTATTTGACAGGTTTAGAGCATTCATTGCCTTGAATTGCATTAGCTCATTTGGTATTGGACCCTCAAAATGGTTGCTTGACATATCCAAATAAGTGAAAGCCCTTTGGATTTTGTCCAACTTCACTTGTTGACCTTTGTTGGTAATAAGAATTGAATTTTGATACCGAGAAATATCCACTACATAAGCATCAGAGGATCCTTGGTCAAGGATAGAGCGAGATATGTTTGTAACAAGTTTGGTTAATTTTGCAACAATATTTTTGTCCAAATGCAACATTATATCCTTGTAAGTCTTGGGATCATAGTGATCAATGAGATCAATGAATAAGTGGCCAAATTCTGGTCCAACATTAACATTATCACGCATCATTGCTTTCCAACTATTTAATAATGCTCCTGGAATTGCACCACTGAAATTGTTGGAGGCTAGATCAACAATGTGAAGCATTTTCCAATCACCACTACTTCTTGGGCATCTAATTGACCCATGAAGTTTGTTTAACCTTAAATCCATTATTCTCAAGGTGGAAATACTACTTAAGAAACATGGAAATCCATCAAGTAATGAATTTCTTCGAAGGTTTAAGACTTGTAGTTTCTGGCAATTGGCTAAAGATTTTGGGATGGGGCCATCCAAGAGGTTATCATTCAGGTCCAATAACTTGAGAGTACATGAAGTTGCTAGAGAATTAGGAATATAACCTTGAAGTTTATTTCCACCAAAGTTCAACACCCTTAGAGTGCTACTCAAGGTAGCAAAACACTTGGGAATCGTCCCAACAAAGTTATTATGGGAAAGATCTAGCAAGCGAAGACTTGAAGCATTGCAAAAAGATTCATGGATGTGTCCCCGAAAATTGTTGTTTGAAAGAGACAACAACTTTATGAAAGGGGCATTATTTCCAATGTTTAGTGGAATGACAGAGTTGAATTTGTTGTTAGAGAAATCCAAAAAATTAATAAACGTTGGAATGAAAGGAAAAGGCCCTTGTAGTTGATTGAAACTAAGATCAACAAGCAAAAGGTTTGAAGTGAAGTTCCAAACACTACCATCCAAATTTGTCAAAAAATTTCTGGAAAGGTTCAAGTGAGCAAGATATTCAAGTTGCCAAATCCATTGAGGTATTGACCCTTCAATCTCGTTGTCAGCTAGGTCAAGATAAAGTAATGTGGATAAATTTCTCACAAAACTTGGGATTCCTCTCATCTTGCAAGATGCCAACATTAGATTTCTTAGATTAGGAAAAGGTGATAAGTCACGATCATCAATAGAGTATATGTCAACTGAAAAATTGTTGTGCGAGAGGCTTAATGTAGTTAAATTACTCAACCTACGAATCATGTCCAACTGTATTGTGCCATTAAGCTTGTTTGAATTAAGTTGAATGACACGAAGTGTTGTATGATTAAAAATTGACTCAGAAATAGGCCCTTGCAAATTATTGCTACCCAAATCAAGCATCTCTAACAAAGGAGAGGTAATCACAAACTCACCCAAAAAACCACCGAGTTGGTTAAAGGGAAGTTTAAGTTCTCTCAAATATGGGAGTTTAAGTAGAGATGAAGGGAGGCTTCCACTAAAAAAGTTAAACCCTAAATCAATGCTGGCAAGATTTTTAAGACCCTCAAAATGACTAGATGGTAACACCCCAGATAACTGATTATGAAAAAGCGACAAATATGTGAGATTCTTAGACATATTAAAAGAAGGTAGTGGGCCTGTAAAGTTATTGGAAGACAAGTCTAGATAAATAAGTTGGGTGAGAACTGTGATTGAACTAGGAAGTGTCCCATTAAATTTACAGTAAGATAGATCAATTGTAGATAATTGCTTCAAATTGGAAATAGCACCTGGAAGTCTTCCTTTGAAATTTGTGTAGCTAAGATTCATTTCAAGAAGAGAACCATGTGGTTGGAAGTTTGGTAAAGAGCCCCCAAGATCTTTATTGTCTGAGATGTCAAGGATCTTCAATGTTGGTATTTGGAAGATGTCTTTTGGAAAAGAACCATTCAAGCCACAACTTCTGAGCTGTAGTGTGACTAAATTGGAGAAATTTACAAAGAATCCGGGCACTATGCTTGTCATGTTGTTGTGGCTCAATTTTAGAACAGTGAGTGATAAAAGCCTTGCGAGTGAAGAGTCGATAGGTCCAGAGAGATTACATGATGACATGCTCAAAACACGTAGCTTGTGCAATGAAGAAATAGCATGACACCATCCTTGTCCTTTGGTAGATATTGCCACACCATCTAGATGTAATTCTGTGATATTTGTAAGGTTTTGTAAAAGCATTCCTATATTTGGCTCATGAAGTTTTAGCCTGTGATGTGAGGTAAATGAAGAAGACAAATCAAGAGTAGCCAAACTTTTGAGGAGAGAAATCCCATGTGGAATCTGCCCCTCAAAGCCAGCATTAGATAAGTTCAAATACCTCAAATTATTCAGCTTGTATAGCTCTGAAGGAATCACTGAACGTAAGTTATTAAAAGCCAAATTCAAGCTTTGTAGATATTGAAGGCTAAAAAGAACACTTGAATTTGTAAGTCCTCCTGAAATGGACTCTTCACTGAGATCAAGGGCTACCACCAACCCCTCGTTGCATGTCACCCCATGCCATTGGCAACAATCTTCACTTTGATTCCAAAGACTAAGCTTTTTGGATATTGTAGGGTTGAATATTAGGCTATTTTTTAAATGGAGCAATGTGGAACACTCTTGGCCAACAAAATAGCCATTGGTTGCATTATGGTTTATTAAGCACAAAAGAATCAAGAAAAGCCAAGAGAGTATGTGTCTTCTCATACTGAATTATAAGAAGTGACTTAGGAAGATGGCAAAAGGATATTTTATCATTTGAAACTTCATTTTCCTCTTTTTATAGACTACAAATTTAGTACTTTTGATAGGATTAGTCAAACACGCAATTAAATATCCCTGAAATCAAAAGAACCCCAAATTTACATAACGGTCTTTAGGTGCCGATGTTTTCAAGTCATACAACTTTTTATTTTTCAAAACCACATAGAGGTATAACTATGCTACGTGTGAGTCGGTTTAAGACCATTCAATTTACATATATTTAACACAATTATATATCAGAAACTTAAATTCAGATTATTGATTATTGATTTTTAATTATTAAGATCATTTAACTTTAAATCAATATATGTCGTTCAACAAAACCACTTACTAAGCTAATGCCACGATTTTAAATTAATATAGTAGTTATATTACTATGTTAAAAACATATTTAAATATTTATCTAACTACTGAAATTAATTAAGTATTAACACAGTTTTATTTTCTTCCTTTCAAAATATCTTAATTACTTGTTAAATTCTTTTTATAAAAATAACTTTGTAAAAGTCGTATTAATTTATAAGTTTCTCTAATTGTAATAACTTATTTTATTTAGGTTTTACAATTTTTTTAAGAATTACTTTTTAAAGAAAAATGGGTATGAAAATTTATTTTGTTACCCATTTAAGCTCAATTTGATATTTTCATGATGACAATTGTTTGGGTATCTGAAGAAAACGTTGGTTTGTTAAATTACAATACTAATATAAAATGGTTTGAATTAAGTACTATTTTGAATTCCAACTTTGAGTCTTTAATCGGCATACCGATCAAAATGGAAGTTTTTTTCCACTCATATATTGTCTGTGAAATCAGAAGAGAAATGTTCAAAGGTTGATATTCTCGATCGAAATAAACCGGTAAACTTTAAGATACTGATGCGAAAGTAATATAATATATATATATATATATATATATATATATAT